CCCCCTAAAATCACGTTTTATATGTGACTATGTCAAGACCGGAAATTAGTTTTTAAAGGAAAATCTCAAAATGCCCCTAGATCAGTTTAGGCCAAGAGGGTTAAAAAGCTGCTACATGCATAATAGAAAACTGAACTTCGCAAGGGATTTTCGGTACCAAGAAGACATTTTCTAGAAAAACATGAAGAAGAAACCCCTTCCTAAAATCACATTTTCTACCCAACCATGTTGAAAGAAGAAAATAAAACTGCTATGAAATGCCTAGAACGCCCCTAATCGGTCTAGGCCAAAAATGAGGAAAATGTAACTTTGCACCAAGTGTTCATTTGACCCTAAATGCATTTCTAGGCTAAAACGATTATGCACACAAACGTATTTAGTGTTTCTAAGTGTGCGGTAATGGTCTGTGGCTCTCAAAAATGGCCGATGCAAAATACGACCCTCCGATGGCCAAAAATGACGAAAATGAACTCGAAATGGAACATTTGAAATCCAAAAATATGAAATGGTTTCAAATTACCATTTGGCCCTTGGCCACTTCATGCATGATTAATGAGACCCTATGAAAGAATAAAAATAGAATTCCCACACCCGATGTAAACATGGTGAAGCAATGACTTGTCATTTTTCAATATTTCCATAATATTTGTTAAAGTCAAAAGTTACATAGGATACAAAATAATATTCATTGGCTTCTGGCCTCATCTCATACATGTCAAAATACATCGTAAAAGGTGTACTTATGTACATGTTACATATATGGAATCAAAGATACAAGTTTTGACATACAAAGCTACAAATAGGATTTCATGCTAACATTTTCATGAAATAGATACTTCAAGTCTACGAAACTTCCATGGCATAGTGTGCATCCCAAATCAAGGTCCCTATACCTGAAAAATGTCCCCACTACATGGTGACTAATATAAAGCTACTCGTAAGAGATGAGCATGCATAGACCTAACATTTCACTGTTCGATATAAATCAATATATAAGGTCCATGCCACCTAGCGTCTATATCCAAGGTGAAACTCAAGGAACATCCTAAGCTACCTTAAAGCATTTCTAGCATAAACCATATCATGCATATAATTTAAACAACGTAGAAGCATGCGGTACACGCAACAAGGTAATCAATATACAAGTATACATACACAAGTATACAATCAATATTGAAATGCACTTATGCCAAGTATATAAGACACAAGTATACTAGGTTATCTAGAAGGTAAATCATCTATATATAAATGCACACACCAAGTACGCTAAGCAATATTGAAATGGAAATGTAACATATATACAAGTATACACTCACAAGTATACTAAGCATTTTTTATATACAAGGCATACAAGTATTCAAATCCAATTATACTAAGCAAGAAATGAGGTATCATGTATCCTAGCACAAGTTAAAAGCAATCCATGATTACAACTAGGAATTGAATGCGAAATCAATAATTGGCGGAAAGACAAAAGACATAAAGTCTCAGTGACCAAGCAAGTTGTTCTGAGTTACTAACCCGCAAGGTACTACCTAGTGCGCAACTAAACCCGGAATAAAACCGTTATATTGGTATTTTGGATTACTAGCCCTTAGGGTACCACCCGGTGCATACTATATGAAATAGAGAGAACTCTCATCCCCCATACTAGAGCCATGCCCTAGCCGTAACAATTTCCAATGTCCATACAAGCTTTCCAAAAAATCGTTAAGTTGTACAACAAGTATATCACATATACATAATGCACCAAAATCAATTACCACGCATAACCAAGTCATGGAATACACACAAGTCATGCCCTAGGCATTCAAGCTATAATGGCATATTAAATGTCATATAAATAAAATGTGAAAACTTACAAGTTAAATCATAACTTCAATTCATGGAATACTATCATGTAATTATATTACAAGTTCCAAACTACAAATTAAGCAAGAATACAACATCAATGCCTAATTACCTTAATGGAAGCATAAAAGGGAATTTAATTATCTTAAGTAATTAAATTCTCAAGGTTACAAAGAAATTCCAAATATTCTACAAATTATATATGTTAAAGGTCATATCAAGGCCTATCTTAATTTCATGTTACAAATTAATTCTACACTAGTCATCACTAGGTGAATTAAACTTCATACAAGAAAATAATTAAATAAAGTATTCAAGGCTCATTTAAATATTCTCAATTCAAGGTATGTTAATGAACATATCAATGTCTACATTAAAATCATATTACAAGCTAATTATACACTAGTTACAACTAGGTAAATTAAACTTAATACCAAGAAAATAAACAAATAAAGTTCTCAAAACTTATTCAAATATTCACTATTCAATATATATGATAGAACATGCCAAGCTCATCAATAATATCAAGTCAAAATTAGATTAAGTGCTTAGAAGTTAGAACACTTAAAGGAAAATTAATTAATCAATTAATTTTCTCTAGATTTTAAAACAACTCCGAATATTCTCAAATTCATCTATGTTAAAGAACATACCAAGGCCTAATTTAATATCACATTACAAGTTGATTCTCTGTTAGTTACAACCATGTGAATATAATTTTCATCAAATGAAAGATTAAATAAAAGTTGCAATACTTATTCAAATCCTCCCAATTTAATAAATGTTAACAAGCATATCAAGGCCTAATTTAATAACATGCCACAATTTAATTCTAAACTATATACAACTATAAGAATTAAATCTTATCCACAGAAAATAATTAAATTAAATTCTAGAATTAATACAAAGGCATGCTTACAAGTTATATATGCTTAGAAAATAATCAAAACAATATAAATATAAACTTAAAACATCCCCTACCTCATTTTGTGATGAAATCACAAATCCCCACCGAAACAAAAACGCTCCGAATCCGACGATACTCCTTAGTTACGTCGGGGACTACGAGGGAAGCAACTTTAACCTTTGAGGCACCATGAAAATCCAAATCCAAACTCAAAACCTGAACACAAAAATGGTCAAAATTGGCTTCTAATAAAGGGGAAAGGTCCGTCTCACCAAAGGTTACAATAAATGCTAAGGCACTATGACATTTTTCACAAGGGAAGAAGGTGCAAAAGAAGAAAAGAAAGTGGCAGCCCATTGGCTGCCATGGCTACTGCTGAACATGGGAGAAGAAGAGAAAAATAAAATGTTTTAATTTTATAACGCCATATTTATAGTAAAACCCTAAAAGTGCCCTTAAAGGGCCCCACCAGGTCCAAAAAAATGGAATTTGTGCAGATGCGCTCAAATGGTAAAACATCATGAACAAAAAAGAACCAAAATGAATAAAATGAACAATGGAAGAAACGGCATCAAAAACCGATTCCCGTGTAGAAAGATATGCCCTGAACAAGTTCAGCGCTAATCGGGGCCGAAAACCCAAAAACTGGGGAAAACGACTATAAGGAAATTGTAAGTGTACACGACTCGACAAAATGTGAAAATAAATCCCGTACAAGGATCTTGGCTCAAAATGAGGCATTTTATAATAACTTTCGTTAATTGTATAATGGCCCTTCCAAGAAAGGGTAACTGCAAAACTGCCTAGAATGAAAATATCTTCTAAATGATATTTTCTTAAAAACCCCTTAAATAAAATATCTTCAAAAGATATTCATGAAAAACACCCCAAGAAACATCAATGTTTCTGAAGAATCCTTTCATCCACGCCCCTACGGGAGAAAGAAACAACCGGCGAGCGTTTCTCCAAAAGTAAAGCTACGCCTTTCGAGGAAATCAACTAGAATGAAAACTCGTGAAGTCAAAACTCAACTCCAAACATGAAAAGTGAGATTATGCCAACAAAGTGACAAACAGGGAAAAGGATGAAAAATGAATAGTGTCGAAAAACAAAAAATGTGGAAATAACGCGGTCCTTTAAGGAAGTTGTCAATCCAAAGGAAAGAGTCTCAAAAACCATTTCCGAGTACTCGAGATGACACTAACCGAACTCAAAAAAGAAAAAACAACGAAAAAAATTTATCTGAAAAAATCTAAGAAAAGGGAAAGGTAGGAAAATAATCGGGTCATTACATTTTTGGTATGTGAAGATGAAGACCATTTTTCTCTTATATGATTTATGGGACTATGTTGAAGATGGGTATGATGAACTGGAGGATACAATAACTTTAACGAATGCCCAAAAATAACAATTGAAGGATCATAAGAAAAAAGATGCAAAAGCTTTAGGCTTGATTCAACAAGGAGTTGCTGATACAATCTTTCCTAGAATTATCAATGCTTCTAAAGCAAAGAAGGCATGGGAAATCATTGAGAATGAGTATAGAGGCAGCACGAAGGTAAGAACTGTAAAACTCCAATCTTTGATAAGAGATTTTGAAAATATGAAGATAAAAGAAATGGAGTTGTTGAAAGATTATTTTTCTAAACTTATGGAGGTGGTAAATCAAATGAAGACCTATGGGGAAAATATTTCTAATCGAACAATTGTTGAAAAATTTCTAATTTGTTTGCCAGCAAAATATGACCCTATTGTTGCTGTTATTGAAGAGACTAAAGAGCTTGAAAACTTGAATGTTGAAGAATTGATGGGTTCCATAAAAGCATTTGAGCAAAGGTTGAGTAGGCACTCCGAAAAGACAATTAAAAGTGTCTTTCAATCTAAGCTCAATATTAGTTCCAAAAATCAAGAAAAATACCCATCAAGTTTTGATCGATCCAAAGGTGAATCTTCTAGAGGTGGAAGATACGGAAGAGGTGAATCTTCTAGAGGTGGAAAACACGGAAGAGGAATAAATTCAAGAGGAAAAGGAAGAAATATTTTTAAGGGAAGTGAAAATATAGATTCCACTCAACAAAAATATGGAATTTGAAAAAGAAGTAGCCATGTTGACAAAGATTATTGGTTTCGGGGAAAATCTCAATGTTTCAATTGCAAGAAATTTGGACATGTTCAAAAAGATCGCCGGTTGAAAACAAATTAGCATGCTAATTTTTTTGAAGAGCAAGAAGGTGAAGCGAGCATGTTTTATGCTTGTCACACGGCATCAGAACAAAAGGATGTTGTGTGGTTTCTTGATAGTGGGTGTAGTAACCACATGACTGGAGATAAAAACATATTCTTGGAGATTGATTCTTCATCAAATTCTCAAGTGAGGATAGGAAATGGTGCCTTGTTCCAAGCAAAGGGAAAAGGTACTATTGCCATAGAGACAAATAAAGGACGAAAGCATATTCGGGATGTGTTACTTGTTCCGAATTTAGAGCAAAATTTGTTAAATGTTGGGCAGCTTGTAGAGCATAGGTACTCCATTCATTTTGATGAGGACTCTTGCAAAATTTATGACAAGGGAGGTGTAAAGACTCGGTCTTTTCACTGTTTTCTTTTTCGGCAAATTTTTTTTTTTTTCCCATTTTCGTCTTTTTCCCTATTTTGTCTTTTCCCAGTTTCCCTTTTTTGTTGCATAACCTCACTTTTTGTGCTCGGATTTGATTCCGGCTTTGCATGCATCCATGATATTTAATTTCTCTGATATCTACATTTTTACTTTTGTATAAAAGCATGCTAATTGTTTACTTTTCTTGCAAAGGGTATGGATGCATAACTTTTGGTAATTTTCTTAAACTTTTAGGGTTTTAGTGTAATTATGCAAAGTAATTATTTTTCGTCTTAGGGACCATTTTGTAATTTAATTTGAAAGATATTTTCAAAAAGGACCTTTTTGTAATTTTCAAAAAATGTGACAAGTGTCACATTCTCATGGTGCCACTTGTTGGCATTGGGGTGGGGAGACTTGGAGGCATAATCTCTTGACACATAGAGGGTAGAGATTCACCAATTTATTGGCCTAGGATAGAAGCACTTATTGGCATGGATAGTTGACAAGTGAAGGCTTGATTTTAAATCTTGAAAGTTTGCTTAGATTCATGCCAAGTGTAGGACTCACCTTTAGTCTTACAAGTGTGTGTGTGAGAGGTAGTGCAAGAACACCTAGTGAGTGGAGAATCCCACCACATTTAACTTAGGGTTTTCATTACATTTTATTCATTCATCTCTTTCCTCTCAAGAACCCTAACCTAGCCACCATTGAAGACAAACTTGGTTTAAGGCTTTAACTTCATTTTTAACCTCCTTCCACTCACCTTAGATTATTGAGCTTGGAATACAAAAGCCTTGCCTTATCTTCCTCTTCATAACCCTAGAAGGAAAACTTGAAATTCCTTTACTTTCCTTAGATTCAAGAGGAACAATCCTCTTGTGAGGTAGGGGGTGTTCTAAATTATGCCTTTGATGTTTTATATGTTTTAATATCTTAATACAAATGGGATACATGTCTCCAATCAAAGATTTAAGTGAGTAGTTAATTATATCTTGCATGAAATTTAACTAAGACATGATTTTTGGAAAGGCCATGACTTGATTCATGACATATATTAACTTAAAGTCGTTTAGGGTTGTTTTGAAATCTAGAGAAATTAGTTAATTAATTTACTTAATTTTTATTATTATGTTCTTATGATTTAAATCAAGTTTTGATGTGATTTATTTAATGACCATGATAGGTACTACAACATATATTAAATTAAGCATGTTTGGATGAGAAGTGAAATCTAAAGAAATTAGTTGTTTTATTAAATTAATTTCTATCCTTGTTGTGTTAGTGAATGAGTATGTATCCATGTTGATTGCATGTTTAAATTATGATTTTTAAACTTATATCATACTTGTGAGACTATGTTTTTGTTATTGAATGATATTGTTATAAAGAGTAACAAATTGTATAATAATTATTCAACATTCTTCATACCATTGTAGTTGAGAACTTAGGGAATGTATTGCGTTTCCAAATTGGTTTGTGCATGGTAGATGGATTTACATTTATATATATATATATATATATATGTGTGTGTGTGTGTGTGTGTTATGCTAATACATATATGTTGATGCACAAATTGTAGATTTTGGAAACTTGGGATGTCGTTGTTATGGCTAAGGCTAAGGCATGCTTCTAGTATGGGGGATTGTCCTTCTACAAGTCTAGTGCGCACATAGGGAGGTTACCCATGGGCTAGTAACCCTAAAGTAACTATGGTGTTGGTTTTATCCGACGTGATGTCCAAGTATCCACTTTGGTTTGATTTCGTATTTAAATTCCAAACTTGATAACCTTGTGATACTGCATCTCATTGTACTATGTTAAAAGTTCCAATATCATTATAATAGCATGGACTAAATTCTATTGAATTGCAAACTTTATAATAAGTTAAACTTATGCATGCTCATTCTCTACGAGTAAACTTATTTACTCACCCCGAAGTTACTGGGTGTTTTTCAGGTAAAGAAGCTTTATTGTGGGATGCACAACACTCTTAGACTTGCTAGAATTCTTAGAGTACTTTTGGTGACATTGAATATGCACTTGTTAGCATATCATGATCTTTTTTAGTGTATCGTATAAAACTTGTATTTATTGTCTAAGCTACGTAATGTGCACTTAAGTGCACTCTTTTGCCACTCTTTGGATGTATATGTAATGAGGCCAAGGGCCAAAGACACTTATATGACAAGTATGCTAGTTTAACTTCATAGCTTGTTTAGGGACTATAAGGGATTTCATGCATTGAAGGGTCATATTTTGCATATGACATACCATGAGGCCGTAGGCCATTCTAGCGCATTTAATTCATCTTTTTACACATGCAAGCATGATCATATCTCAAAGAATACATGGATTTCAACTTTTGAACTATTTTTGGAGGATTTATGAAAATTTAAGGAAAACCCATGCATTGAGATGTAATTCAAAGCTTCATTTTGATTTAGCATGCTTTGGATGCTTGCATGAGACTAAGGAGTGTTTTAAAACTTGTTTGGATCACATAGGATGCATGTATAGCCTTAAAACCAAGCCACGCACCTTCCTCATGGTTGCAACAGCTTTTTCTACTTCTACCAGGTCCATCGGTCGGCTGAAAGCAGTCCATCGGTCGACCGATAAGTGTTCAGAATGATTTCCTGAGAGTTTTCATTCTAAAAAGGGCATTTTGGTCGGCTGGTACTATTCCGTCAGCTTGCTGATCCTCCCTGAAGCTTGGTTTTCCTTTCAGCATCTTGGATAGATTTCTTGGGTCAACTTTAGAGGGTCATATCTCCTTCATTTCTAATCCAAATTAGGTCATTCTTGAGCCTAAACTCAAGATCTTGAAGTCAGATTTCCAATGATACTAACCACACTCAAAAACTCCAACCGTAGTGAGAGTTATACCAGTTTTAGTGAGATAGGGTCGCGGTATCTCTAAATCAGAGAATGCTGTTTTGTTCTTTTTTCATATCTTTTCCATACGGACTCCGAATCAGGTGATTCTTGAGTCTAAATTCATTAATTTTTTATTTTCTTTCCAATGGTATGCTTGGTAGCATCCATTCCTCTATGAAATGACCATTTTGCCCCTAGGTTCATTCTTATCCGTTTTTGAGACATCGTTTCCACATTCATTTTCATTGGGTTTCGTGACCTCATTGAGGATCACATTAGTGTTTTATAAATATGTAGTATTCCTAGAGACCATTGTTATACCTTTTGCTTCCGCATTCTAGATTCATCATTGGATTTACGTTTAGTTTATCATAGGATGCACTGGCCTAAAAACTAGGGCCGTCATAGGAGGATAAAATCATATTGTGGCAAAAATCAAGATGGGGAAAAATAAAATCTTTCCTCTAACTTTTTCATGTTCAAAAAATATGGCCTTGAAGATGGATGCTGTTGATGAGTCATGGCTTTAGCATAGAAGACTTGGGCATTTGAATTTCCAAAGCTTAAAGAATTTACAACAAAATAGCATGGTGTATGGGCTGCCAACAATACAAGAAGTTAAAGAAGTTTGTGAAGGTTGTGCTCTTGGCAAGCATCACTAAGAGTCATTTCCAAAAGAGAAGGCATAGAGGGAGCTTGTTCATACCAATGTGTGTGGACCGATGACAACACTAACTCATGCGGGTAACAAGTATTTTATTATTTCGTTGATGATTTTTCAATAATGACATGGATTTATTTCATGAGACAAAAATCAGATGTGTTCTTTATTTTCAAAAAATTTCAAAAGCTTGTTAAAAGGCAAAGTGGCCATCTTATCAAAGTGTTAAAAAATGAAAGAGGTGGAGAGTACAACTCAAATGATTTTGAAAATTTTGTGAAGATATTGGCTTGGAGAGGCAATTAATGGTTTGGTACACTCCACAACAAAATCGAGTGGCAGAAAGAAAAAATAGAACAATTGTTGAGATGGGAAATCAATGCTTCATGAGAAGGGGCTACCTAAATCATTTTGGGGTGAAGCCGTGTATACGGGTGTTTCTTTGATGAATAGAAGTCCAACAAAAGCGGTAGAGAATAAAACTCCATTTGAAGCATGGAGTGGAAGGAAGCCATCATTGAACCACTTAAAAGTTTTTGGGTGTATTTGTTTTGCTTATGTTCTAAGAGAAGTAAGGCACAAACTTGATGAAGCTAGTGAAAAATGCACCTTTGTGTGTTATAGCTCAAAATCAAAGGGCTATAGACTTTTTAATTTGAAGAAGAATAAATTGATTATTTGTAGAGATGTTCTCTTTAATGAGAAGGCTGCTTGGGATTAGAAAGAGAAATAAGTTCAAGATCAAATCACCACTTTCAATGAAAAATCAGGAAATCAAGAAAATGAAAATGAAGATATTCTTAAAGTTCCACAAGAAATGTCTCCCGTATCTAGCTTACAATCAATCCTAACTTCTCCATCAAACTCAAATTCCTCGTCTCCAAGTTCAACTCCAAGAAAAATAAGAAGCCTTAGTGATGTGTATGCAAGTTGCAATTTTTGTGTTGTTAAACCGAAGAACTTTAAAGAAGCAATTAAATAAGAGGCATGGAAGAAAGCTATGGAAGATGAAATTTATGTGATTGAGAAGAACAAGACTTGGGAGTTAGTAGAGAAGCTGGAAGACAAAGATGTGATTGGTATGAAATGGATTTTTAATAAAAAAAATTCAATCTGGATGGCTCCATTCAAAAGAACAAAGCATAACTTGTAGCAAAAGGGTATTCACAACAGCCCAGAATTGATTTTCAATAAACTTTTGCACCCGTGGCTCGTCTTGACACAATTAGAGCACTCATTGCCTTAGCGACTCAAAATGGTTGGTCCCTATATCAACTTGATGTAAAATTAGCCTTCTTGAATGGCGTTTTGAAAAAGGATGTCTATGTAGAACAACCTCAAGGCTTTGTTGCAAAAGGAGAAGAAGAAAAAGTTTACAAATTGAAGAAGGCTTTGTATGGCCTAAAACAAGCACCCCAGGCATCGTATAGTCAGATTGATTCTTACTTCATAAAAAAATATTTTCAAATGAGCAAAAGTGAGCCAACCTTATACTACAAAACATAAGGTAAAACCGGAATTCTTATTAGTTCTCTTTTTATTGATGATTTGGTATTTACCGGTAGTGATGGAAGAATAATTGATGATTTTAAAAGAGAGATGATGAAAAAATATGAAATGAGTGATTTGGGTATGTTGCATTACTTCTTGGGCATTGAAATTTATTAAAAAGAAGAAAGAGTTTTTATTTGTCAAAAGAAGTATGCAAAAACTCTTCTTGAAAAATTTAAAATGTTGAATTGCAAATCCGTTTGCACTCCCTTGGTTGTGAGTGAAAAAATGATGAAAGAAGATGGAAGTAAAGAAGCGGATGCATCTCTCTATAGAAGTTTGGTTGGAAGTCTATTGTATTTGATATTTTCAAGACCTGACATCATGTACGCTACAAGCTTATTATCTCGGTTTATGCACAATCCAAGCCAAATTCATGTTGCGGCTGCCAAGAGGGTGTTGAGATATATACAAGGTACACTTGATTTTGGCATCTTGTATGAGAAAAATGTTGATGCAAAGTTGTTTGGTTTTTGTTATAGTGATTGGACCGAATGTGTTGATGATATGAGAAGTACTTCCGGTTATGCATTCTTTCTTGGTTCGGGTGTATTTTCATGGGCATCTAAAAAGCAAGAAACGTTAGCGCAATCTTTTGCAAAAGCTGAGTATGTTTCAGCATCATTGGCAGCGTCATAAGCAATATGGCTAAGTAGAATTTTTAAAGACATTGGTGAGAAGTAAAAAGAAGCTACTCCAATTTTGTGTGACAACAAATCCGCATTTGCTATGATAAAGAATTCCATTTTCCATAGTCGCACAAGACACATTGCGATCAAGCATCACTTTATTAGAGAAGCCGTGGAGGATAAAAAGATTTAACCCAAGTATTGTAAGACTGAAGACCAAGTTGTGGACATTTTTACCAAAGCACTTCTAAAAAATAAGTTTGAATACTTTAGAGAATTATTGGGTGTCACAACATGGCATTAAAGGGGGTGTGTTAAAATTAAATTAATGCCATGTTCATTATGCATTTTGGGTTTATTCATGTATCTGTTATTGTACATGTATTAAGTGTGTACATGTATCCAGTGAGTGCATGTACCATATGTGTGGTTAAGAATTGTCTTAAAAAAGTTCAAAGGTCTTTGAGAGATAATTTGTAAGGGATGTTTGGCCTTGGAAAAACGGCCAGTCCTGATGGAACCGGATGGGCATGCCAGGAACTGCAATATTCTAAAAAGAGATCCAAACAATATTCCAGAAGGAAGACTGCGAGACTAGGCGATTGTGAAGAGGTCTGGAATGAACACCTCTGGGTTCTTTTGGCTTTGATAAAGGACTTCAGGATAGTTAATTGGTTAGGAAGAAACGAACTACTTGTGAAAGTAATTGACTGGAAAGTAAGATTATCTAATGAAAAGTAAAGCGCAGGACTAAGACTAATCATATTGAAAGTGCATTGCAATAAAAAATAAAGATTGTACTGAAATGCATGTTTTGTTTGGCATCGAGCAAACTTTCTAAGTTACAATATCATGCCATGTTTATAGAATTTAGTAATGGTAGCTTGCATGTAACCACTTGCTTCCTAAGCTGCCATGTGTCCTATGACTTTGCATGTAACCGCTTGCTTCCTTAGCTGCCATGTGTCCCAAGACTTTCCACTGGAATGTCGTAGTACCTTTCCATTAGACCGACCAGCTTCCTAGGTTGCCATGTGTCCCATGACTTTGCATATAAGCGCATGTAACCGCTTACTTCCTAGGATGTGTCGTATGACTTTGCATGTAACCACTCACTTCCTAGGCTGCCATGTGTCCCATGACTTTGCATGTAACCACTTATAACTGCTTGCTTCCTTGGCTGCCATGTGTCCCAAGACTTTCCACTGGAATGTCGTAGTAACTTTCTATTGGAATCGACCAGCTTCCTAGGCTGCCATGTGTCCCATGACTTTGCATGTAACTATTTGTAACCACTCACTTCCTAGGCTGCCATATGTCCCATGACTTTGTATGTAACCACTTGTAACCACTTATTTCCTAGGCTACCATGTGTCCCATGACTTTGCATATAACCATTTACTTCTTTGGCTGCCATGTGTCCCAAGACTTTCCACTGGAATGTGGTAGTACCTTTCCATTGAAATTGACCAGGGTAATCTCTTACTGGAAAATGGAAAATAAGGATGTAAACATTGCCCCTCAAATTTGATGTGCCTGATATTCTTTGAAGAATTGTAAGACATATCAAATTTTAGATGTGAGTGAGAATTTGCCATGTGATATTCCTATTATTAAGGAATTGAACAAGTAAAACTTTTCAGTCGGAATGTACCATTGGGCCGAAAACTTTTAAGCAGCTTACTTATTTAACGAAGACGAAGATTTAAAGCCTCATGTCTAATTTCGTTGCCCCTCGAGGTCTAGAGGTTTACAAGGAGGACGAATTTATACATCTTCAGGCCAAATACATAGTTGATTAGCCAAGTTTTGCCCCCTAAAAATCACAATATGTGAATTTGGGATAAATAAAGTACTAGCATTTTTTTCCAAAATTGGAAGAAAAATACTATGACCGTTATATTTTTCAAGTGGAAGAATATACACCGATTGAGAAGCATGTGCCGTTTCCGAAGGAAAATTTGACTGTGGAAAATCTTCTTCCAATGGAAGAAGTGATAACGGCTTCCGATGGAAAGGTCTGTCGACCTTTCTCATGGCTAAGCCACAATCTTGTTGGGAGAAGTCAGCAAGTTGGCTTATACTTTCTCGCCAACCTTTGGGTAGGTTGGCTATTGGATACCCCCCAAATACCACTGGAATTGGGTTTGGGTTTGCCAAAGGAATACTCCTCCGGTGGATTGGATTTACTCCTTGATCAGGAGGTTTCCTTGGAAGGTGTTACATTTCGAATGCCATCGGAAAGGCTAATAGTGGCCTTGGTAGTGTGTTTATAGGCTATTGAATATTCGAAAGTGCCACATTCTGTTGGACATGAAATTGAAATTTCTAAATTGCTACTGGTGGAGGATTCTGCACCTCAAGTGGAACCTGCACCTATGATGGAAGTGGTTGAGCTACTACTAGTGGAAGGTTCTGCACCTCAGTTTGAACCTGCACCTGCGATGGAAGTGGTTGAGCTACTGCCAGTGGAATTGACTTCACTGTTGCTGAAGGATTCTGTACCTTAGGTGAAACATACATCGACAATGGAAGTGGTGGTGGAATCGACTTCACTACTGGTGGAATCGACTTCACTGCTAGTGGAATCGACACCACGGGCGGTGGTTGTTTCTGAGCTCGTGAAAGGGTTTGTACTTGATATTTGGACCCACTTCCTTCTACCAAGTAAGGCTTCTGTAATTGCTCTCGTAACTCTCTTTCAAGGCGCAACTGATTACAGAAGTCATTACATACATCCATGCATGACTGAAATGCATTATGCACTAGTTGAATTTCTAGATCGGCACATGAAAGTTCAATAGCCCATTCCCTAAAAATTTCGGCAAGATCTTGAAAAGATTTGTCGTGTCTTTCTCCTCCCGCCATGGAAACACTTTTTTCAGAATGTCCCACTGGGCATGCCACTATGTTTGGCCTTGGAAAACCGGCCGGTCCCGAAGGAACTGGATGGGCGTGCCAGAAACTACAGGAGTTCCAAAGAGAGATCCAAACAATATTCCAGAAGGAAGATTACGAGACCAGGCGATTATGAAGAGGTTTGGAATTAACACCTCTGGGTTCTTTTTGCCTTTAATAAAGGACTTCGGGATAGTTAACTGGCTAGGAAGAAACGAACTACTTGAGAAAGTAATTGATTGGAAAGTAAGATTATCTAATGAAAAGTAAAGTGCAGACTAAGACTAATCATATTGAAAGTGCATTGCAATGAAAAATGAAGATTGTATTGAAATACGTGTTTTGTTTGGCGTTGGGCAGACTTTTTAAGTAACAATATCATGCCCTATTTATAGAATTAGTAATGGTAACTTGCTTATAACCGCTTGCTTCCTAAACTGCCATGTATCCCATGACTTTGCATGTAACCGCTTGTAACCGCTTGCTTTCTTGGCTGCCATGTGTCTCAAGACTTTCCACTGGAACGTTGTAGTACCTTTCTATTGGACCGACCAGCTTCTTAGGCTGCTATGTGTCCCATTACTTTGCATGTAACCACTTGTAACCGTTCACTTCCTATGATGTGTCCCATGACTTTGCATGTAATCACTTGTAACCACTCACTTTCTAGGCTGCCATGTGTCCCATGACTTTGCATGTAACCACTCACTTCCTGGGCTGCCATGTGTCTCATGACTTTGCATATAACCACTTGTAACCACTCACTTCCTAGGCTACTATGTGTTCCATGACTTTGCATGTAACCGCTTGCTTCCTTGGCTGTCATGTGTCCCAAGACTTTCCACTGGAATGTGGTAGTACATTTCCATTGAAATCGACCAGGGTAATCTCCTACTGGAAAGTGGAAAATAAGGGTATAAACAAGGGATTTATTGTTAAGAGATATCAACACAACAAAGAATTCAATACAATACAGAATAATATTTGTTTCTTCATTCCTCTCCTCTATTCACTTAGAAATTATTTAGTTGGTAGAAACTACAGAGCAAACAGTTAAATCTCTCGTCTCTCTGATCGTTGATGCTCAAAGCTTCTCGCCAGTGGTTACTGTAGTTTATTACCGGTCGGTGTGGACAGGGATGAGCAGATGGTCTTCTAAGTAGCTCGATCTATAGGATTTTTCAATATTTGGCTCGCGGAATCCAAGTCCCAAAGCACAGCTTATATACGAAGACATTATTTGTGTATGCTCAAACGGCTCTCTTAAATAACTCACATTATCTGCATTGTTTTTTTCAGTCCCTTTACTGCTTTAGATAATTGACCTCAATGCCCAATTCAATCAGCTTCAACTAAATAGACACGAGCCCTTAAATTCAAATTATGACTCCACTAAGGACAATTCGGACATTCTCTATGGAAGAGAATCCAATTTACTTTTTACACACACAAAAGCTTGGTTGCATCATATTTCAATTTCCTCCAAGCAATATACATGTACTATTAGAAATTAAAAAAATAATAATAATAGGAACAAAGTCCCACACCTTTGTTTTCATGATAACACTACACTGTTCGTATAAAGATTAATTATCAGTCTTCACAATAACACATAACCGTATGCAAGCTGTGGTCTAAGGTTACAATTTTAATACCAATATGACAATATAAATGACCATAATTAAAAGAGCAAGATGATAATGATGCATAACTATATATAACCACAATACAATATTGATTTTACATTAATAGAAAAAATTTAGGATATAGACCAACAATAAATATAAAAGAATTGCAATATACTGACTTGGATAGTGGAGAGGCACGTAAAATATTGCCCTAAAGTCGCAAGTTCTCCTTACATGCTGGTATAAGTGGTTTATGCGGTTCCAAGATACCCTAATCTTCAATTCGTCAATGGTCTTCTTTAGGCACGTCTGAAAAAGATATACGTATATGTATAAAATAGATAAAATATTGGTAAAGCATAGAAGGAGAAAGAATAGTAGGAGAAGACCAGTGAACTTTTTCATGTTGAATCTCTTAGAGAGATTTAGCTTTTATAGACCCCAAGAGGAGCATTCACATAATATGGTAACCACTCATCTATTT